ATTCTCTTCACTTCTGTAAAATTATTTCTCCTTATGTGTCTCCAAGCTCTTAAGTATATAGTATAAGGCTCGCTCTGGTCACAGATTGAAGCTCAAAAGAGACCACTGTCGAAATATACTTCTGAAATAATTGATAAACGTACTGTCCGGAAACTGAGAGTTCACATTCAAGCTACGAATTTCAGTCTTAGCAAGTAATTTTTCCTAAGAAATATTCCTGACGCCCACAAGGTAATGAGTGATGTCGGGAAAATTCACAATAAGGATGCGAGCCAGGACAATTATATTTTCTCCCGTTCAGGAAATGATTTCGTATAATCCGTAACGAAATCGAGCCCAAAACAAATAGATTATGTCCAAAATATTGGGCCAGTCTTCTCTCACGATAGATCTTGTAATTTTCTATGAGAGTTTCCTTCGGAGTGTTTTTTACCATTCTAAGAACCGCGTGAAATACAAAAAAAGTTCTTTACTTTTCTTTACACTATGCTGCAGTATTTATATTTCTATAACTGATATAACGATACTCAACTATATGAATTATCTATGATTTTATAAGATACGTTTTTAGAAAGGATTACTAACTTATTATTTTCCAAAAGGTCTAGCGTTAATGACCATGTTAGAACTAATTAAAGTGTTAAATGAATGTTTGGGACCATAATATCAAATATTTGTCATTTTTTGGGCAGATCTCAGAACAAAAGATGTCAGCAATATCGCCAACTATCATTGAAAAATTGTATAAAAACGTTATTTCGCAGCTCCATCAACGTGAATAATTTGACATGTTTCTGTCATTGAATAGTTTTGATTGGATATTTTTTCACTTAAAAATGTTGGCCTTTCACTTATTTAATATTCTTTCGTAACACATATTATCCATCTAAGTGTTCTTCTATAAAATATTGAATAGGTTACGTATGCATTCTACATATAGGAAATTGCTATCACTTTCAGCAATGGCTGTCATGTTTTATGTCATTTGTAGATATTTGATATATCTCCATATCACTGACATTTTTATGCATGTCGCAACTTTATTTGTCACGTCTCTCTATTAACAACAGGAGTATGTTACTAATATCTCCCGAAAATGAATCTGTAATCCCACTGGACGGTCTACCATGGTTTGTTAAATCATGTACATTCTAATTAACAGCTTCAATAGACATATTGCAAGACATTGTAAATTTGTGGCATACGTTGAAAGCACAGGCTTTAAGCATTGTCCTTTACTGACTGTTTTTAGAAATACTGTGCACGGAATGATCCATCCAATCAGTAGGTATTGACACTTTAATTATTGAGTGTGCGGTTTTACCACATACCAAGAGTCACCTTATAACTGATGAGACGAGTGTCTTTGCCATCTTTGATTTTTTATGATTTTTTACACAATAAAATAATGAGGAATAATTTGCCTGTATCGTTAGGTGCATTAAAAAATAATGCAAGCGGCGATATTTACGGTTTCCAGTATCTGCTCATAAATTTGTCTTTGCTTAAGATTTGATTTTGATCCAATGAAGTTAAATTGAGACGAAGTTTATTTGTTGAAATATTTATCTATTCATATGACATTTATATGTGTCGTCGACAACCAAAATTCGCTGATTGTTTTAACACTTGATGAAACTACCACGTCTTGCTGTAGGATTAAAGCACGTTTACTGGTCATACGAATATTTATATTAAATTCTGCACAACGTGAAAGATTTCTAATTAAATTCTATGGAAAAGATCGCGAAGTATTTCCCACAATTTCAATGAATTTGAAACGTCTCAGAAAAACATATTACTTAAAAGCTCTCTTAGCTTAGATGCATTACATCTCACAATGGCATTTTCTAATAAACCTTAGACTACGTAGGATGCGTTTAATGGATAATACCGACAACAATTTTGAAGCTCTCATACGCCGTAGCTTCTTCTACTACATGCAACAACATTCGAAGACATTAGAACGACAAAAAATCTTAGTGTATGAGTGAACAAGTATTTAGTATATTTTTATATGATTAATGTTTATTATGGCAACTTTTTAATCTAGCTTAGAGCTAACTTTACTCTGAATGCCAAGCCTGTCGATTGCGCAGTTGTTTTAGTTTGGTTATTATTCGTAATACGTATGTCTTATTTCAAGTGCAAGCACTCCAAACGTAATCTAAAAATGTGTTTCATAAATGCCTTTCATGCATATACTACTTAAACGAACCCCTGATGAGTGCTGGCCCTAATGCACCCAGCGAATTTTATTTCAAGATTTGAAATAATGTACTTGTATTTCCCTTTTATGCAAAGCAAAGCTAAACTTAACACTTGGCAATATTTTAAATAATAAAGAGAGTGTATCATTATTACTCAAAGATCCCCTCCTTCCCCCTCCCCGGTTTACTATTTTCTCAAACATTTCTGGCAACTCTATTTGCAAAAATTTATTTGCATTTTCCATGAGAAATAGCCTATTTAACGATAGCCAGGTCCTAGATTTTGAAAGATGGCATAAAAAGGCCCTACTACACTATGCGATCAAAAGTATCCAGACACGCCCAAAATGGTGTTGTTGTGTGGTCGTGTTTTTCATGGAGGGGGCTTGCATCCCTTGTTGTTTTGTGTTGCACTATCACGGCACAGGCCTACGTTGATGTTTTAAATACCTTCTTGCTTCTCACTGTTGAAGAGCAATTCAGGATGGCGATTGCATCTTTCAACATGATCGAACACCTGTTCATACTACACGCCCTGTGGCGGAATGGTAACACGATAATAACATCCCTGTAATGGACCGGCCTGCAAAGAGTCTTGACTTGAATCCTATAGAACACCTTTGAGATGTTTTGGAACGCTGACTTCGCGTCAGACTTCACCGACCTACATCGATACCACTCCTCAGTGAATCTCTGAGTGAGAAATATGTCATTCCCCAAGAAACCTTCCAGTACCTAATTGAAAGTACGCCTGCGAGAGTGAAATCTTTCCATCAAGGCTACGGATGGGCCTTATTAAATTCCAGCATTACCGATGGAGGGCGCTACGGACTAGGAGTGGACTATGCTGTAGTCTAGTCTGTAGTCATTTTCAGCCATTTGTCCGAATACTTTTGATCACATAGTGTATATTTATTTGTCTGTCACCAAAAGAAGTCATTTTTAAGAATTATTTACGAATTCTCTACGAATTGAATTCTGAAATGAAAGCGAGATAACACCATAATTCTACCGGGCAGAACAAGACAGTGCGGAATGGGGGAACAACAACAAAACTATACTTTCGGGACCGTTGACGAAGAAAAACAAAAAGTACTAAGTTGGTCCCGGGGGTAGTGTCTATAATGTGTTTAAATTGCATGTTGACTGATTCATCCTTTAAGGATTCATGCAAAGGATATAACTTAAATCGGCTTAATACAGACAGGCAGACAATTGGTTTGACGCGAGATTCGTTTTAGCAATCGAATAAGCAAGTTCAAGAGGTATTTTAAAGCAGTAATTTCGAAAATCACAGACTATCTCTTCAGATTTATTTATCTGCATTGATACGATTTATATATAATGTATTGTTATGATATATAGTATATTATAATTTGAAATATTTTATCGCTGTAAGTACCTAGTTATTATCCGGCTTTCAATTCCATACACATTTGTATGAAATATAACATTTTCGAGAAACCAATTTCTTCATACACGAGCAATTACGCAATACTCCAACACCGTTGAAGACACAAACCCTGTTTTCTGCAATTTTTTTAAACATTATATTCTCATTGATTCAACATCTATTCTCTATCAACCTACAATTTATATTAAATAATTATTAGCATTGAGTCATTTTTTTCACTTCACTCATAGAATTTCACAAAATAGTAATTTTGTTCATGGATCGTAAAAGGATATTTCCTATTCTCTTTGCTACGAACTCTGTACTACCTCCTTTTCCGCAGTTTTCCCACGTTGCCTAAGAGTTCAATGATGTTGTAATTCGATTTCACAAACTTTTTTAATTGTTGTAACATTTGTTTCTGTGAGTTTTGCTATTGGTAGCTAAGAAATTGACGTTTATTTAGGCATATCATAAAAAATTGCTTGTTGCCTAGAACTAAAATTACCTTTTTGACCAATGAGCTGTTTATTCAAGATTTGTGAAGAAGATCAAAATCTTGTCAAATTTCGCATTAACCAGAGAGAAAAATGATTTAACGGACATGCACTTGTGTTGGTTAAGCTACAGATCAGAATATCTATTAGTCTCAAGACTGTTCTCGCGGGGAAAATATAATAAGAAATTGTATGAAGTAAATGTTAATTGAGGAAGCTAGTGGTTAAAACAAGTAGTACTCTAAATTTTTCACAAAATACAGCTACTGAAAAATCAATAGGAAGAATATCACTGAGTCTAAAAAGCTTCGTACTACGACACGTGTACCACGCTCGCGGCATAGTCCACTGCTAGCACGGAGGGGATGCGCAGAACCAAAGTTTGAATGCTCCGAACTCACGTGGCAAATGTACGATAACCCTTTGGAATATCGAGTGGAAAGTACGGAGAAACAACGTGGATCCCAACCCAGGCAATCATACCGCATATTGTGCAGTCATGGTTCATTGAATCCTAGAAGCGACGAGGATATGGAAAGAAAAATACAGATTTCAGAGTCCGCTTTTTGTTTGTCTCCTATAAGAATTCATAAAATAATTTGGAATCGGGATTATTTTCGTTTTTTCTATTCACAAAGAAGTGTTCGGTCTATGTCCCTGGTGGTTGAAAAGATCGAAGCAAAAACTTAAACTTGGAAAAAATAGGCATCTTAGTTTTAGAACTGACGTCATTTTCGCAGTTCGAAGTGGACTAGCCAATATGATTTCCATAAACACGCCTCAATACGTTTCGCTGGTCACCAATCCTTTAAAGCATCAACGACCGGATATCCCGACGCTAGGTGATACTCATGCGTGCGGAAAGACAAAGCAAGCTGAAGTTCGGGGAGGCTGCGTTACCTGTGGCGATAAAGCACGGAGCGGCGCTGTCGGTGGCGGGGGCGGACAGTTGCGGGGCTGCGTGGGCGATCATGTGCGTCACACACGCGGCACTGTACACACGCCTATCCGGCTGTACGGCCGGCGCGGGTCGGGGCCGCAAGGGGCCGCCAAAAAAAGGGCCCGAGCGGCGCGATGTGCAACTCGAGGCAGACACAGCTTGCGCCGCGCTGGGTCGACGCCCGCCTGCTCCGACGCCGCCGCGCCGACGCTGGCCCCGATCAAGTAGTTACGCGCACAGCCCCCCACGATTCCCTCCCCTCCGCCCACGCCTCCACGCCTCCTGCGATTCGATAGTGATTCCAGGGCTGTGCGTAAGGCTAAGTCATTGAGTGGGGCCGTAAGTATGTAGTGGGTGTTTTGTAGTCCTCGGAGGCGGTTGTGGATCTGGTGCCGACGCTACGTTGACTGCGTGGGTTTTCTCGCTAACAGGTAGTCTCCAACAGTGACTGGTACACCCAGATCGAAGCTCCCAAACGGTCTCCCGGCATTTGTGGTAGTGTAGTTCGTGTAATTATGTGTGTGTAAGTAAGTAAGGGGTAGGAAATAACAAGTAATGGAAAGGAAACATCATAACAAAGGGTTCCTTTGTTAGGGCACATCTTCGGCATTCGCCTGGTGTTGATCGGAGAAAGGAATTAGGAAAACTACCGATCAGAGCAGCCGGCCGCTAGAATTCTCCTCGAGACAGCGACTGAATTCGACGTAGCTATCCATCCAGTGTGGAACATCCTGCCATCTTCGGGACTCGAGCATAGGATCTCCCGGTCAGAGGCAATGCAGTGACGTCAGTTGATTCTCTAAGTCAATTCTCCCGGTATCGCTCCCTCCCGACACCCACCGATAGGTTGCATTTTAAGTCGAGGCTTCTCATTTGCCATTTGCTACAGCCACTTACGAGATGGAGATTGAATCTAATGGGGATAGAGTCCGCCGCCTTCATGGCGTGGAATTTTAAGTCCATGCTTCAAATTTATTGCAGTCACTGAGGCAGTGATGGGCGCGAAAATGGGGTGACTATTAATGTTTGATGCTCGGTTGCTTTTCAGTTGCATTCGTACTGCAATCCAATTCGGAAATGAAACAACATAACAGTACGTAATTTACTTCGCCAGACAAACAAAACAAATTCATTGTCTTTGCATTTACAAAAGGAATGCAACTAAGAATAATAATTTGTAAAAGAAATTTACAATAAAGCCATGACATGAAAAATAAAAAGAATCAACATTTTCATATCAGCAATACAGTGGAATATTTCGAAATCGATGTAAAAGAAAATCTTGAAAATTTTAAATTAACAAAAAATGTAAATGGAACTTTAAAGTAAATGCTGATACTTGGGTTATTAGCAACTTTACATTAAAATTGCTATGACTTACTTTCACCCAAGAAAAAGGTTCTTGAAAATTATGTAGTACGTAAAATGGAAATATGAAAAGGAACACACGTTTTAAAAAATACATAACACACATTATCGATTTCAAATAAAGTATGTTTATGTTTTATTTTCAAGACGAAGTTCATATTCTATGGTAAAATAATATTTTATCTATAGTAGTATTTCCAATTTGTAAGACTACTTTTCAAATATTGCTGGGGTTAATGCTTCATTCGCTGTTCGCTCGACAGCGTAACTCTAACTTGTCAAAGATTATCACTGCAATTGTTTAGTTATTACGATCCATGTCCCACATCTCTGACTATTTCGTTCATCTTCCAGAAGTTGCTTCGCAGTTCAGTGACAGTTTCAATCAACTCAATGGGGGCTTTTCAGAATGTATGATTCAATAAATTAATTGAAGTCTGTAGTATTTGGCTTGAATAACTTGTTTTTTAACCACGTTCGAATAAAACATGAGTTCTTCACATAAACAAAATAATAATTTCGAAGGAAACGTACTCGTATTTAATATCCCTTTCTAATTATCCAATGTCAAAATATCCACAGTCCATTTCAGAAACGATAATTGCATACTGAATCGCTAATTTCACATGTATTCAATTGTTTCTCGGGGGATTCTTCTTTTCAAGTACTGAAGAACAAGCTATTAGAAAGTTAAGCTCGCTGTTCTAGGGAAAAGAAATATCCAAGTCTACTAAGAAAAAGACTTTTTTACTCTATCATACAAAGTATACAATTGTATGGCTCAGAAACATGGGAATTAAGGAAAAGAGAAAGAGAATAATTGATGAGTCTACCAATGGGTTTTTTGAGAAGACGATGTGGAGTTTCTAAAATGGAGCATAATAGAAATGAAGAAATTATTAAGCAAATGCAGGTTCAAAAATCAATTATAGATAAATTGGAAACAAAGTCTCAAATGATTTGGTCACGTGAAAAGGCTTGATCGTGGGAGATAGTCCAGAAAGGTTTGTGAGCGGTATTCATTAGAGAAAAGAAAACGAGGCAGACCCAGAGAAACAGTAGACGCTGGCTTTTAAATACACGCAAAGAAGATCTAGAATAAAATGCCTGGAATGATAAAAAGGGATGAATATTAGGTAGCGAGGGACGGCCGCAAGAGTTGTAAAACACTCGCAAGAAGGAGGAGAAGAAGAAGAAGAAGATGATGATGATGATGATGATGATGGTGGTGATGATGATGATGAAATGTTTCTCTACGATTACTCCAGAATGTATACATTTGAGCACACGTTATCCGATGCAGTAATGATGACAATTCCACCAGCCGTGCGATAATATTATTCTCACACGGCTGTCGACCAATCACACTCGTCTTAGTTCATTATACACAACAGAGGGTTTTCTCTGTCGTCTACAGAGGCTCTACGTACTCTGCCACGGCAGATCGCAAGTTTTGTAAGACAGCTGAACCACAAAACAGTATGCGAGTTGGTGTTTGTTAGGGTCAGAAAGCATTCAGTGTTTTGTAGCTGTTCTGTAAGGTGCATTGTTCTGTTTTGTAGCATTTTTAAAACATTAATTTCAAAGTCGTAGACAAAATATAGTCTTGTTCTCCCGTAGAATGGCTATTATTCCCTCGTAGAAAGCCTGACACTCGCTTCCACGTCGTTCGTGTCGTAAACATCAACTCGTGAATAATAGTTATCATTCTACGCTCGTTTAAGAATGTACTATATATCTCCGTGATTCAGGTTATTTGGCTGGTTGGTTAGTCAACTACTAAAGTCAACTCAACTACTCAACTCAACTACTAAAGTCATTAGTCCCGAAAGTGGTGTATGTTCCTTCCTTGGGAAGTGGCGGTGATCTATCCCCTTCTGTATGGTGGGATCCAGCGCCGAACTACCGTCGGCTAGCGGAGTTTCCCTCAACCAGGTATCTCCCACCAGCTGTACACCGCCCCAGCCGGGATAATCTCTAAGCCCCGATCGATCACCCGACATGTGTGCTTGTGTAGCGCATGTTAGTGTAAGTAAGGGGTGAGAATAGGGCAAGGAAGAGGAAGGAAAGATCCCGCGCGGTTCGTGACCCGTTTGTTAGGGTACTGCTCCGGCATTCGCCTGGTGTTGATCGGAGAACCGACTGAAAACTACCGATCAGAGCAGCCGGACGCCAGAATTCTCCTCCAGACAGCGATTTTATTCGACCTATCTGACAAGCTACTGTCGAAACTTCTGCCACCGTCCGGACTTCAACATAGGACTTCCAGGTGAGAGGGATTGCAGTGATATTAGTTGATGGCCTGGGCCATTTCTCCCGGTGAGGCTACCTGTGATCCATGGAGTTCGCGGGAGACGTAAGCCCCAAACCGTATCGACACTGTACCTCCTTAATCTAACGATGCGAGTCATGCAGAGAATACTTTATTTTTTTACCCCGGACCTCTCGGTCAGCGACATCAATTGACACCCTGAGCCACCTCTCCCGGTGCCTACGATTGAAGCAACGACGGAAACTACTCGTCGTGTTCGTGAGCGAACCAGTTAAGCGCATGTTAATTGCCCGCGGAGGCGCGCGGCGCCGGGCACCCGTGGCGCTGCGTGAGTCTTCGTCCGGCGGCGGCGGCGGCGTCCGCTCCTGAGGGCCACGGAGCGAGGCGGCTGGCGGCGCGGCGTTGTCGAGGTACCACCAGTGATCTCAACATTACAGCTGCATGCACAACTGGTGCCACCAGTGATCTCAACATTACAACTGCATGCACAACTGGTACCATCAGTGATCTCAACATTACAACTGCATGCACAACTGGTACAACCAGTGATCTCAACATTACAACTGCATGCACAACTGGTACCACCAGTGATCTCAACATTACAACTGCATGTACAACTGCAATGCTTCCAAGTGCTGGAAATCGTGACTGTCTTTCTTCGTTATGTTGGCTGCGGTGAACGTCTATTATCCACGCATGTTTTCTTGAGATCGCGAGGCGGCTGGCGGTGCGGCGTTGTCGAGGTACCACCTCTGATCTCAACATTACAGCTGCATGTACAACTGGTACCACAAGTGATCTCAACATTACAACTGCATGCACAACTGCAATGCTTCCAAGTGCTGGAAATCGTGACTGTCTTTTTTCGCTAGGTTGGCTGCGGTGAACGTCTATTATCAACGCACGTTTTCTTGAGTGAGCCCTCATTTCTCTAGATGCGACGGGAGAGGGGGGGTTGATTATTTAATAGACAGGGCCGTTATAGGAAATCTGTAGCTCGTTTTTCGATGCAAACTATTTTCTATTAGGCAGGAGCGAACACTTCTGGTTATCAGAGATTGTCTACAAAACGTGTTGCTATTATTTATTCTGAATTCAACTAATATTAGTAAAGGATTGGGGGTAGGGTTGCCAGGGCTCAAGAAAACGTGCGCGTATAATACGTACATCTTTTTTGTTATTTAAGTTCGCATCGACTTCTAGGTCATTACCGACCACTGTTTAGTGTAAAGGTATGGTAACTGTGAGAATGACACGAAATGATATTGACAGGGGGTGAAAGGACGAACGCAATACAACCATGGCCGAGGCGGGACTCGAACCCGCAATCCTTCGAACCGAGATAGCTACGGCACTACTGCCTTAGCGATCTCGGTCATCCGGCCCGGCACCTACAGACTTTGTCCGTAGACGAGTTAAATGTGTCTTGGGTATTGGTGATGCTTACGAATATAAACCTATAATTGTCTCTGTCAACGAAAATGCGAAAGTATTGAGTAGTAAAGAACGCCAACAAACTAAACTAGATGCGAATGTTATTAGATGAAATATTATTTGGTAGCCATTAGTTTCATAATA